TCTAATTTAGTCAATATTTGATGTTGTTGTATGGGTAACACGTTTTTTTCCCGATAAACAATATAATTATATAAAACGACGTTTACAATTAATGAAACGTGATACAGATTTTAATTCTCAACCACCAGAATATGTTAAAGAATGGTATAGAGAATTTATATTTGGTTATCTTGAACCAGATGGAATATTTATGCTTCGTTTACTTTCATCAAATACAAGTGATTTTGTTTGTACAGAAGTAAAAATATTTATTTATTGAATATTATTTCATAGGAAACGAAATTTTGTTTTTTTCTTAGGTTATTAATCACTTATGGCATGCATTTTATATGAAAGATCCTAAACAATTAAAACGTAAACGAAAACATGAATTAGGTGGTGACTCATCAATAGGAGAAATTACACGTCAAGCATCTGATCCTGTTGATTTATCTGCAAGTTATGATTCGATTCGACGTCGAAGTAATAATTTTCCAGCTCCACCATCCGATAAAACAAATACAAATTATGGGCCCTTAATCCCAACAAATCATCATCAACGATTCTCATCAATAACTACTAAACAATCTTCTCTTTCAACTCTAGTCGAAGGCGATGTATAAATGAACACATCTTATTTCAAGTTAAATTCTCATAATCTCAGTCATTTAATTTCTTTTTTGTTTTGATATACTATATATTTGTTTTGTTTTTCTAATCTAATACTAGTCGTGTTTTTTTTCTAGTTGTAGAGAATGTCATCATTCTTCTGTGCCTTTTTTTTAATGAGAATAATAATTTGTAGATAAAAATCGATTACATTTTTTAAATTACACGTAAATGCAAAAATATATATTGCAAAAATAACTGATTTTCGAAAGATTATGCTATAATACTCTATTGATAATATAGAAAAACAAGGATTTGTGTTCTTTAGCGTAAGAAATATGGTTTAAAATCAATCGTATTTTATTTGCAAAAAGAAGTATGTTCATTAGAAGACCAAGAAATATTTAAATTTTTGTTTATTTTCTTTAATTCCATCAGATATTGTTCGCCTTTATTTTGAATCATATTATTTTCGAGATTGAGTGTAGTAAGTGTCTATGATAAAACTATAAATGATATGAAGAGTGAAATTATTTCAACTCACTGTATTATGTTGGAAGGCATAATATAATAATTGAGCTCCTCGATCTCCGATCTGATTGAAACAAAGATTGACTTTCTTAAGTGTCTATATTAACGAAATAAGAAAAAGATGAGTATAAAACAAAAAATAATCGTCATACTTACTGTATTATTACGTAATGCATCACATAGATATTGAGTTCCTTTATTTCCGATATGATTTGAACAAAGATTAAGTATCGTGAGTGTCTGTATTCAATAAATTATTCAAAAAAACGATATAAAAAATATCTGTCATACTTTATTTTGTTGTAATGCACCATTTAAATATTGCGCACCTTGTTCACCAACATCATTATATCCCAAATCAAGTATACTGAGTGTCTGAATTAAAAATAAAAATTGAATTCGAAATCATTATATTCTTTCTCTCACTTTATTTTGTAATAATGCATCTCTTAAATATTGTGCCCCTTCATATTGTATTCGATTAAAAGAAATATCGAGTGAAGTAAGTGTCTATTATAAATAAGATGAATCATATAATGTATAGATAAATAGTTTACATCTTACGGAATTATGTACTAATGCATCACTTAAATATTCAGCACCAGCATTTCCGATTTCATTACAACTAAGTATAAGTGTAGTAAGTGTCTATAAGAACTATATTTGAAAGGATATGGAATAGATTATGTTAATAATTACGGTATTTTGTCGTAGTGAATCACTTAGATATTTTACACCTTCATCTCGCGTCTTAACACAATCGAAATAGGATATGGTGAATGTCTTTATTAAAGAAAATCAATAAAAGTGGAAGAAATATTCTTCTTACTCTAGTATTTCGTAAAGTATCAAATCCATTATTTCCAATTCTATTATTTTCTAGGTTAAGTGTAGTCAGTGTCTACAAAAAATAAATAAAAATAAGATGAAATCTTTCTTTTTTTTTAAATTCTTACCGAATTATGTCTCAATGCATCACTTAGATATTGTACTCCAATTTCTCCAATTTCATTAGAAGACAAACTGAGTGTCGTAAGTGTCTATATCAATTAAGAAATGAAGGATTCATCTGTCTAAATCTCTTACCGTATTACGCCATAATGCTTTACTTAAATACTGTGCTCCATTTTCATTAATTTGATTTGAAGAGAGACTAAGTGTTGTCAATACCTGAGCGAGATAAAAAAAAGAAAATAAAAGGTCCATTTTTATTTTTCTCACTGTATTTTGTTTTAATGCATCGCTCAAATATTTCACGCCTTCACTTTTAATTCGATTAGAATTAAGACAAAGTGAAGTCAGAGCCTAGGTGAAATATCATAACAAAATAGAATTAATGATGAATCGAAATTTTGTATTTACGGTATTATTTCGTAATGCATCACTGAGATATTTTATGCCTTCACTACTAATATGATTGCTTTCAAGATTGAGTGTTACAAGCGTCTATAAGAGAGTCCAGAAAGATGAATATTGAATATAAACGAAGAATTGTTTAACTTACAGAATTTTGTCGTAATGCATAACTTAGATGTTGAATTCCATTGTCTTTGATATTATTCTTTTTCAAATTACATGAAGTGAGTGTCTGTATTATAGAAAAAAAGATAACAAAACAAGAAAAATATTTATTATATTAGTCTTACCTTATTTCGTAATAAAGCATTGGCAAGATTTACTATTCCTCCATGTCCGATTTGATTGTGTTCGAGAGAGAGTGATGTTAAAGTCTATAGGAAAAACCAAATACGATGGATATAGAATTTGTTATCTTACTGTATTAGATTGAAGTGCTTCACTCAAATATTGTGCACCTTCAGCTCCGATTTGGTTATTTTTAAGATTGAGTGAAGTAAGTATCTATGATAAGAAGTAAACGGAAACGTATCGGTAAAACAAAGAAAATTATTATTATCACTGTATTATGTTGTAATACATGACTTAAATATTGTATTCCTTTATTTCCAATTTGATTTTCAGAAAGATCGAGTATTGTTAATGACTAAGTTAAATAAAAATGTCAATAATAAGTAAATAAAATAACTACTATTCTCACCGTGTTATTATGTATTGCATTACTCAATTGCTGCATTCCTTGATCTCCAATTCGATTGTTTTTGAGATTGAGTGCAGTGAGAGTCTATGATATATCGAATCTGTTATGAACGATTATTAAACAGGATATGATTCTCACTTTATTTTTTTGTAATACATTACTCAGATATCGAACTCCACCATTACCAATTCGATTATTTTCCAAATTGAGTGAAGTCAACTTCTAATATTTTAGTAAGAAGTTTAATAGTTCTTTGTATTTCTCTTTTTTAATATAGAAAATAATATAAATATTTCTTACTATGTCATCTTGTGATATATAAAAAGCCACAATTTCCATATCTTGATCTATAAGTTCCATGGAAATCAGAGATAATTCTGATTTACTTTGTTTCGCTTGCATTATTTTTTCTAGTCTTGGATTTCGAAACTGAACTGGTAATGGTATTGTATCTGTTGATTGGAATATTGGCGCAGATGTTGTTTTCAATAATATGTTAGAATTTGTTGATACTAGAATTTAGATAAAAAAAATATTTATATTTTCACAATGATTAATTTGACAACAAAGAGAAGACTGAAATTTTCTTACCAGATGGATATGAATTATTTAACTTGGACATTATTGGTGGATGTATTGGTTGCAAAAGTGGATAGATTAATCGAATTTCTTTGAGATAAATTATATGTAGATCACCTTGATGAAGATAATCAGTAACTTGATATGATGTACCAGCCAAAAGAAGTAATTCATCAGTTGATGAAAAATATGAATGTTTACGAATATCTTTACCTGAATGACATTCAATAATAAATAATGTTCTTGGACCTGTTTGACTAAAATATTGTTCTGATTGTAAAGTATTCAATGACATAGTACATGATGAAAAGCCCCACCATGTTATAGTCTTGCCTAAAATATATTTGCTGCTTAGATCTAAATTGATACATCTGTAAACAATTGCACTTATATTTGGAAGACGAAATAAACCATTCAAAAGAAGTCTTAGATAGAGATACCATGGTTCTAATTGTTGTCGATCCGATGAACGTAAAGTAGTATTTAAAACGAAATAAAGACATTGATCATGTGGTTCCCATCCCATTGTATACAACGTAATTGCTGCTGACTCATCTTGTGTAAGTCCATTAATAGAATGTTCACATCTTTGGCAAGCTATATGAACATAATTCTTAATATCTGGTAGAAGATCAATAATTTTTTCCACAGCGACTTCTAATGAAACAAGAGGCATATATTCGTAACCACTAATAGGTAAAAGAAAATCATGTGGTTCTTGAGCAATATCAGTTATACGTAGTATACTGTATGTAATTCCTTCTTGTTCTTTATTCATATTGTTTTTCGTTCAATATTATAATACTAATTTCTCTATATAATCTAAAAGATTAGCAGTTGTTTCAGAATGTGTGGTTATCTGATCAATTGTATAGTATTATATAAGAAAAAAATGTGAGATAAAATTTAGTATTTTACCTCAAAAGTGATCATTTACTTACTTTAGATTGTTACAATAGACAAATATAAACGTTAATTCATTCGACAAAAAGAAAAATGAAATGTAATTATTTTCTCTGATATAATAAATGTTCTCTTTAAAACAAGAAACAACTCGAAAAAGAAAACTATTTTTAGTAATAAAATAAAGAATTGGTGATGAAAATTAAATATTATACCAATATTATGTGTTAAATCCTTGAAATATTTAAGCATAAATTTGAGGATGCATATTTATTAAAGAGACATTTGAATCTTTTGAATTGACATGGCGTTAAATTTGTAAAATATATGACAAGTATAATGTAAAATAGAATTTGACAAGTTTACTGTGAGAATCTAAGATAAAAAAGCGGAACCAGACACCGTACAACAAAATGCTCAGTTTCTATTTTGGAAACAAATCAAATCTTTTCGAGAAGGTACAAAATAAGAAATATATAATAGCTGTAGACTGCATGAAATTATGAAAAATAAATGCATGGATATTGAGGAAAACTCATCGCTAATGCAGCCTTATGATCGAAGTTGATCGCATAGGTTAAACGATAAAAATCTTAGAAAACAAGTAAATTGAAGGTTTATTTTAATATAGAAATTTCAATGTTTTATTACGTATAGTTTTATTACCTACAAGTTGTTTACATCAATAATTTTCATAGCAATGTTTGGATTATTCTTCACCGTTATTATTATTAATATCATAGTATTACAATTTTTTGTTCGTTCTTAAGAATGTGTAATAAATTTAAATAGTTAAGTTAGGTATTGGTATATGATGTATACAATGCAGCTGATTCTCGTTTATATAGTGTACTTAACTCAAAAAATTACCAACTGCTCATAAAAAAAAGTTCCAAACGGAAATCCCTCGCTTCCCCTCTCTAGTCGTAAATATTTTTTATTTTCTACTAGCAAATTTTTTTAACTTTATTACATTTAGAATAGACAGATAAATTTTTAAAATATCGTTCATAAACTACATTTACGAAATAGATAAGTAAGCTAATTAAAAAAAAAGAAATCTTTTATCAGAACTAGACAAAATACAAATTTTATTTCATGGCCTTTTTTTTTATTTTATCTGATAAATTTTCTTATGTTAATGAGTGACATCTGTGAGCAGAGCCATATTTTTTCCAAAACACTTACCTCCTATATATCAATGGTTATTTGCTTCTCTATCGTCTCATTCTTTACACTTCTTAAATGTATGTCTATGTATACCTTTTACTGCAAGGTGAACGAACGAATGTTGTTTATTTTTTTCTTTCTCTTTCTTTCAAAGAAATTCGATCAACTATATTCGTTATAGATTTTTTTACATAGAAATATACTTTTTTACGAGTTTTTTTTTCTTCTTCTTCTTTTGATAATGAGATAAGGAAAAGGTTGTATATATGGCAGGTATGAAACTAACAATAAGATTAATGTAAATATTGAAATAATGTATTTAGGAGATTGGAGAATTAGTGCCGAGGATCGGACAAAGTACGATTCGTACTTTCAACAATGTAATCCAATACAAGGTTATATTACAGGTATGATTGAAGAGGAATATTATTTGATGAAGATTATGACAATATGTTTAAGGTGATGAAGCAAGAAAATTTTTTGTTCAATCAGGTTTATCGGGGGAAATTCTACGAAAAATATGGTAAATTTATATTTGAATATTTTGAAAAGATAAAATAAATTATTCTTTTTTGCACTCAAGGGATCTTTCGGACTTGACAGTTGATGGTCGTCTAGATAAACGAGAATTTTTCATTGCTTGTCATCTAATATTTTCTCAAGTAAATATTATTTTTATCAAGCTAATTGTCTTATGATTTCTTTTCTTGTAATAAAAGGTTAAAAAACATGTACCACTTCCATTAACACTTCCACCAACTCTTCTCTCTGATACAATTACATTAACAACGAATGGTATCTTACCATCTATGCCAATCTTACCATTATCAATAACCCGTAAGCTGTTTAGTTTTCATTTTTTTTCTCTCTCAGATATTAAAATAACATTACAGTAAAATTATTCCTATTAAAGGACCGTCTATCAATGTTTGGAGTGGTAAGATTGATGTGCACTGTGCATACTATTAACTAGAATAATGCTTTCACTAATTCTATATTTATTTATCTATCATTTAATTATGTCTCTTGTTTTTAGCTCCCAGTCAACCGCTAGTTTCAGGGTAAATATAAATATACCATTAATTAAAATTTTTATTATTAAATTCTATTTATAGTCAACTTTTAAAAACAGCAGTTATCCCATCTACATCATTAACACCAACGATTCGATCAAAATATCTCCAACAATTTCATTCATTAGTTGATGTAACAAAAACAAATGGATTTATGAGTGGTTTACAAGCAAAAAATATACTTCAACAAACAGGTTTATCACAAACATATCTTCATCAAATATGGTAAATTTAATTGTTTTGAAGAATGTGATCGTTCTGAAAGAACTAAAGTTTAATTAGTACATAACAAGAAAAGAAAAATGTCTTCTGTCGAGTATATTAAGATATTGACACATCAATCAATCATATTATATTACTAAAAAACAAAGAGAAATTATCGAAATATTCTTAAGATTATACATATAGATCTAATACTAGTCGAATAAGAGAATAATATTGACTTGAACGTATGTTTATCAAATGATTAGATGAAAGTAAATGTAAAACTATGTCAATACAATTTATCGATGCAGTAAATATTAATGCATGAATTACGAATACGAATATCTTATTATTCACAAAAATAAACACAAATCGATATATTAATTCTGAAAAGACTTACAATTCTTCACTATTAATACTAACATTATAAGCCTGTATTTTTTAATATGAATTTGACAGTCACTCTGCAACTGAAAGATTATATTTTAACTGATCGCTGCGTCTACCCTATCTCAATTGTTGGTATCAATCTAAAATAATTATTTTTTAAATTCTTCATTCATAATCGAAACAATAAACTTGAACAGATTAGATAAATACAAATACCTACTTTTCAACTAATATAAATCTTTCTCGTTCTTAATCTTATGTATTTCTTCATTCAATATTTAATTCTTTTTCTTTTGTGTTCTAGGAATTTAGCTGATCATGATAAAGATGGTCGTTTAACTCCTGATGAATTTGTAATAGCAATGCATTGTTGTGACATTATACGTGCTGGTCAAAATTTACCTGCACGTATACCAGATGAATGGTTTCATGGAAATACAATGCAACGTGAACGAAGTGATTCATCATTAAAATCAAATTTTAGTCAAGCATTTGCTAGTATTAATCAAGATCTTAAAGATACATTTAAATTTGCAAATCCAGTTGAAAATCAACCACCTGAAATGACTGAAGCTGAACGAAAAAATAGTCTTGTAACTTATGAAGAAAAACGTCAGAAAAATTATGAAGTTTGTCTTGTTTGATTTTGAAATTTTCCAAGAAAAAAAATGATTTCTCCTTAGGATGGATATAGAGAATTAGAACGACGTCGACAAGCATTACGTGATCAAGAAGAACGTGAACATAGAGAACGTGAAGATCGAGGTATGAAATATGACTTTTTTTGTTATTGTAAATTATTAATAATATTTGATTTGATTTTAGAACGTAAACGTGAATTAGATTTACAAAAACAAAAAGATGAACAAGAACGTAAAAAACAAATGGATTTCGAAAGACAATTAGAACGACAAAGACAAATTGAACAACAAAAAGAAGAAGAAAGAAGAAAATTATTTGAACAACGAGAAGTAATTATTATCATATATATTCAACAGAAAGTATAAGAGTATATAAAATTGCTGTATATAGCGACTAGGGATGTACAGTGTCAGTGAAAATATCGGTGTCAGTGTTCACCGGACACTGGACATCAGTGTCAGTAGAAATCGGTGCTCAGTAAACCGACACTGCACATCCCTAATAGTGACCATCTGAATACTCTATGAACAAGACTTTTGGATTAGATAATTGATAACATATCAAATACTTTTTTTTCATATTGAACGATACATATGTATAATTATTTTAGACGGCAAGAAAAGAAATGGAACGTAAAAGTCGTCTTGAATGGGAGCGTCAACGTATGCAGGAATTATCTACTCAAAAATCTCGTTTACTTGAACAAATAAATGATTTAAAATCTCGTGAAAAAGCACT